GCCAAATCAGAGATTAGGGCACTGAGTACAATATCTTATGTCTCGGGTGTGGTTCACTAGGACAGAAAGCGACTTTTCGCGTTTCGCAGCGCGAAACATTTTCGCTGCGGGAACCTCGGGTCCACTGATGATCAGCGGTGGACCTGAGGTTCCCGCAGCGAAAAATGTTTCGCGCCGCGAACGAAAAACTCGCTCCTTGTCCTAGTGGACCACGCTGTTCTCAGCGAATTAGTGGGGTTTGTTATTGCTCCAAATTGGCGCGAAGTCAAAACGCAGGCCATGACCATGATCAAGGTTAAAATATCCTTCATAGTAGAAGTTTTGGCAGAATTACTTCTCTTCGCTTCTTGTCCTGGGACTGCAACAGTGCAGTAGTGCTGAAAGGTCAGCATTGTTTGCTGCAGTCTCACTCGTAGCAACCGTCACGAGTACAGTTTTCCAATGTGTTATGGAATTCCATAATTTAACTTTATACAGGCTTGGGTGGTGCAGAGCATCACACTGTTCTCGTTGCATTCGGTGATATTCCATTCGTGGTACTTGGAGCAAAAGGAGTGGGAAGAAATCGCGAGTGAGTTCATACTGTTAAAACTGCTGTTGTAGAACGACACAATGAAACATGCCCTGTTCACTTCTCATCCTTCAGGAGCTGTATTCCTACATTGTGTCGGCGTTTAGTAGCTATCATCCAAGTTAGATGAGTTGAATAGTCGAAGAGGATTGATCAAACCCCTGACCATCGTATCGCGTTTTTTTCCGTGTCGTGGCGTTAGTTAGGTGTCACAACTCAGACCGACGTCACACTCGGCGACTGGACAAGCGATGGAGCGATCGCGATCGCTCCATCGCTTGTCCATCGCGTTGCAATCGCTCGCCGAGAGCGATTGGCACGCGATTGCGCAATCGCTTGCCAATCGCTCTTGGTCGAGCGATTGGCAAGCGACGGACAAGCGATGAGCGATCGCGATCGCTCGCCGAGGCTGACGTCGGTCTCACCACTGCAATGGCTATCGCAGCGGTCGAATGGGGCACAATGTGGCATGTCAGGGGCGTATGCAGCAGCGGCCGGCCTGGGATGGGCATCCAATATTAGGGACGACAACGTCTCTGCCGTCGGGGCGAATTCCGTTTTAGGTCGTGCCCTACCCTTCAACCGGGGGCCGTAATCAGTAGTTCCCCAGGGGATGCGTCCCCCTCCTCTGATTCAATCCTCTGGGGGGACAAAAAAGGGTTGCGTCATAGGACCTAGCATACCTCTGTGTTTCTACCTGCCAGACAGTTAGAGCAGCGCGACTACCCTCCACTGTTGAAGCACTCTTTTCTCCAAGAAGTCGTGCTATCTGGAGTTCACACACAGATGTATGACGGTCCTACGACACAACCCTTTTTGTCTCCCCTAGAGCTGTTAGAGGATTGAATCAGAGGAGGGGTACGCATCTTCCTGGGGGAATGATTGAATACAGCCCCAGGAGGAAGCGTCTCTCGTCCGCTGATTCTATCCTAAGATTGGGGAGACAGGGTTGCGTCATACGACCAGCCATACTCTGCGTTTCTAGACTCCAGACAGCGCGACCCCTCAGAGAAAAGAGTGCCTCAACAGGGGGGGTAGCTACAACATCACGCGTTCAATGGCGGTTTTCACGACGCAACCCTGTCTCCTCCAAGCCTAGGGTAGAAATAGTGGCGTCCCCCTGAGGGAGTGGTAGGATACGGCCCCGGCCTCTTCCAGAGGATCGCACGATAGGACCATCTGAAAAGTGATAGGTGCTGAAGCGCAACCTTCCAACCGAGCTTTGCTACATGCCGCAGCGAGGCCGTAGCAGTACCTGGACATCCTCAAAGTTGTCCCTGGTTGGAGGGTACCTATCCCGGGCCGGGTGCTGCTGCATACGGCCCGGAATCGTCGATGGGGCAGGGCGCAACTCTGACGTTATCCTACTTGTGTGAGGCGATGCGCCGGGCTCCGAATTATCCTTTCGTATGGTAAGTGACAGACTTCGCGAGTGCATTCGCAGTTGGGCGCGATACTTCCTCCGGTGCATTTGTTTGGCACCTTTTGTATATTTCGCAACACGTTGACGACAGCGCGCCCGGCAGCTATGTACGCCGCCTTTAACACATTGAACGTGGTTGCAGTTATTTTGTGCCATTTATCTTGTCCCGCGGCAAAAAGTCTAAACTCACCTCACGTCATTATATTAATCCATCCCTTCCGTGAGTCCGTCACTCCGCCATCAGTCAGATCTTATGGCCGATGTCAGACTTTGCGAATCGCGCGATTCGCTAGCGATTCGCTAGCGTCCGCGGTCGCGTTGCGGTACCAGCCAATTGAGTGATTCACTGGCCGCGACGCGACCGCAGACGCTAGCGAATCGCGCGATTCGCAAAGTCTGACATCGGCCTATGAGTTAACTGTATCTGGATATCTTTACATAATAGTCCTATTTTGTGTTCGTAAAGGCACCAATTCCCTCATGCAGGTGCAGGTTAGTCACCGATTCTATTTTCTCTGACCTTCCAACGGCTCACCATATTGCTAGCTCTTAGCAACAATGCAGAAATGCTGTTTGAGTCCTACTGCACGAGATTTTCACTGCGAGTCGGGTTAATCCATGGTATGCGCGGGAATACGCGCGGCGTCGCGTTGTAAGGCCGATGTCAGACTTTGCGAATCGCGCGATTCGCTAGCGTCTGCGGTCGCGTCGCGGCCAGTGAATCACTCAATTGGCTGGTACCGCAACGCGACCGCGGACGCTAGCGAATCGCTAGTAGCGAATCGCGCGATTCGCAAAGTCTGACATCGGCCTAATCTGGTGCCGCCGCCCTTGGTTCGATGTGATTGTGTGGGCTGACGCAAAGACCCGTTTTTTTCTTGATATTGGAAGATATTTTATCAAAAAATGGTGTTTCACTCATTCCTGTTTTTAAAATTTACATCGAAACCAGGTTTTCGAACATCCATTTTTCTTGAAGGGAGGCTGACAGCAACTGTGCTTATAATTTGATTTCACGTTTGCAAGGATACCTGAATCGACAAGCTCTAGCTAACATTCGCAAAAAATGGGTACGTCGTTTGGATCGCATTTTGCGACAAGTCTTCTTGGAAGTTCACGTGTGTCTATTAAGGCTGCAGCAGAATCTGAAGTTGATGAAGCAGTCGAGGTTTTCCGTTTTATGGAGGAAATAGTGAACTCGACACAGTACTGTCAATTAAAGACGGTGGGTGTTCAGGTTATCTCAAAGGTATCAAAATGCAGCTCCAAAAATTAAATAAAATTGAAGGATTTTTGTCCGTCGCTCGTGTTTTACATTTTCTGTTCAGATTCCTATTCTGGAACCAGATCCGCCAGAAAAGGGGTGGGCTCGCCAATTGCGTATTGATCTTCGTAAGATGTACGATGAAAGAAGACCATCGAATGCTAGCTCGTCCAAATCAGCAGCTGCAAATGGTATATTCACTCAGGTGCTTTTTTTCTCCTAAGTCTTTTGATTCACTTTCTCTTTTACCGCATTCTTCAACTGGCAAGAAACAATGTAAGGAGATGGTGTGCTTATTTGTTCCACCAATGAATCAAAAAACGGTGTTCCCAACCTTACCATTTTAGAGACAGTTTTGGGAGGTTCTTATTACAAAATCTAGTCATGTACATATTTGAGGTTGCAGTTAGTCAATTTAGCCGGGTTGAATGTTTTTGGTGGCTTCAGCTCCTTTCTCCTTCAGTTCGCTATTCTTTGCTTTTTTATTTGAATACTTTTCTTATATTTTGGGAAACTTATCTGGGTATTTGTCCAGTTTCAAATTGAAATCATTGTGCACTAGTGCTCTAAGCTTATTGAGAAGTTACTGAGAAGTAGTGGAAATCACC